GCTTGGAAAGGGAGGGGTGAGAGAGGGGCTGTTCAGTTGGCTGGAATCTGCAACGTCACTATTGTATGCCAGTAAATCCTCCCCACTGGATCTTTAACTTAAATATAGATCACATGCACCACTTAACTGTGGTTTGTTTTTCATTTAAGGGGTGGAGGATGGCCAGACAGTCAGAATGCCAGTCGGCAAGAAGGAGATCTTCATCACATTCAGGGTGAGTATCTTCATCTACAAACCCAGGCCGGAAATAAATTAACTCTACATGAAGTGCCAGTTCACGTCAGAGCTGCTGTAATGGGATTGTCTTGTGTAATGTAGTATAGGTGTGTGGGCTAGTAAGAGGCATTGAGCCGTCTGAGCTCTTTGACTTTGAATTAACACAGTTCAGACAACCTGAGGAGCACTGGAAGTTTTGTTACCACGTATGATTGGTTGTAATGTGTTGCGGTTTGGTGTCCAGGTCCAGAAAAGTCCCGTGTTCAGGAGGGACGGTGCAGACATCCACTCTGATCTTCTTGTCTCCGTGGCACAAGCTATCCTGGGTGGCACGGCCAGGACACAGGGCCTTTATGAAACACTAAACTTATCAGTAAGTAGATGCACATTCTCAGGTTTGTTCTCTAGCGGGGAAACATTTCAAATACATACAGTGTTATAAATGACTCTCTTCTCTTCAGATCCCTGCAGGCATCCAGACAGATCAGAGGATCCGTTTGTCAGGGAAGGGGATTGCTCGTATCAGTGGCTACGGCTTCGGAGACCATTATGTACATGTCAAAATAAAAGTACCCAAGTAAGAGTCCACAGTCAAACACTTATCTTGTTCATCTTTTTTGCTCTAATAAAAATTCCAAATGGTATAAAAACTGTTTCCCAACCACAGTGACCATAAGATATTGTTTTTTTCTGCAGGACACTGACAGACAGGCAAAGAGCTCTGCTAATGAGCTACGCTGAGGACGAGACAGACGTGGAGGGGACAGTGAACGGAGTCACTAACACCACCACAGGTAAGAGGACAATGACATCCACCCTTACTTTTTCTTCTTACCCACTTGTCCCTGTAGTCCCACTACTTTGCTTGATATACTGATTCACTGAAATGGGGTTTTAGGAAAGGATGTTGTATTTAGTCATCGGCCCTGCTGATGCAGTGTAATCTCTGTCCAGGTGGGGGCAGCAGTGGTAAGCGGTCTGAGGCAGGGCAAAGAGTGCATAACAAGAACGAAGGAGAGTTGAAACAAGAGGGGGGCTTCTTCTCCAAATTAAAGAAATTGTTTAGTTCTTCGTGACAGCCACAAGCCAGGTAGGACTAGTGTTGATTTTTCCCAAATCACTCTCTATTTTCTGTTCTTCACAAATAAAATGTGATGCATTATCCACCATGTTCACATTTCCTGGATGGCTTTGCATTATCTGGTTTGTGGCTGTCACATAAAAGCACTGATGCAGGGGTGCATTCACCTGGATGTTCAGCCACTCTGGGATGTCCTAAATTGTCTGTTTTAAATGTCCTTTTTTTTTCAAAGTGGGACTGCATTGTCACTTCAATATAGATGAATAAAAAAAGAATTAAGTTAATTTCCCAGGAATCCATTTTACAGCTCTTTTCTTTTTCCTTTTGAAGTAGTAGCAGTAATTTATTTCGGTCTTTGTTAACAATTTTCCAAAAAAGAATGAACATAATGAAGAACAAATAGGCGTTAAATTCAAAGGAAAACAAAAGGGAAACAAGATGAAGATCGAAATGGTGGATGCTGAGGCTTAAGCTTATTTTACCTACCTTTTTTCAGAGCATATTCTCATAAGTAACTCATTCACTATGATGTACAAAAAAAACAAAACAAAACAGAAACGGCTTGTATTTGTTTACCACCTTATATTTGAATGTTTTTTTAATTTGCAAAGTGAACTATACATTTTTAATTTCTTGTCAACCAATAGACAAGTTCACCCCTTTGGCAGATACACATCTATTCTTCGTGTTTGTCTTTACCCTTGTTTTCTTAAATGCACCTGTTCCCCTAAATTCATACTTGCTCTCTAATTTTGAACCACTTCTCAATACAGTTAGAGGAAGGAAATTATTTTGTGCTTTGTTTGTTATATGTGCAGTTTTAAGATCAAATGGAGCGTTAGTAACAGTAGGTAAAGTATGGCACTATGAGAGAATTATACAGTATGTATACTGAGTTCTGAGTCAATGTATATATTTAGTTTGATATAATATTGCAGCGGTTTTTAGACATTTTTGCCTATATTTACGTAAAGTTTTCAGCATAATTTACAATCAGTTACAATGCCCAGAAATGTATTGTCACATATTTGTTCTAAGCATTTTTTAATCATATTTTTTTGTTTATTATTGAATTGCTGATTTCCAAATATTGTAAACTTTGTTTTACTTAATTTTAATGATAACCTCTTAATATTAAACTATTTCTTTAAGACTTCCAGCTATGTATCCACTGTATTCAGAAGCAGTTCCAAAATGTTCCTGGAGCAATTTAAGCTTGTGTCATCAGCAAATAAAACAACACTTAATAATTTAGATATTTTACAAATACGTTTTATTTGAACAGGTGAGGGCCCAGCACCTTACCTTGTGGAATCCCACAAGTAACCTTCAACAAATCTGATTCAAAATTATTTATATTTTACACATTGATATCTATTTATGTCTTGTTCTTTCGTCTTTTTAAAGGTAAAAGGTCATCCTGGAACTGAGAAGCTTCGTCAGTAGATCAGAGGGCAGAAGGGAGGACAGCGCAAGGCAAGCACAGCCACATTATAAAGGGACAGGTGGTTGAGGAGTATTGGGTGTCGGATGAGGCCTGCAAAGGTTTTGGAGGGATCAATATGGACCTACCTACACAGCCCTGCAGTGAGCAAGACGGAGGATCATCATCTCTGTTCTTCTGCTGAGGGGAGTCCACACAAGAGGATGTTCCACTGCACCAGTCACCTCTTCAGTCAGACGTCCATTGATGCAACAAAGACTTATCATGAACATAGCAGTTGGTGCATGTTGGATTTCTGTTGATCCCCTCAAAAAACTATAACGATAACAGAATTCATGTGCGTAGAAATAAATTATTGACAAAGAGTACAGATTCAGTCACAAATTTCATTTGGGATTAAATCAACCTCCTGTCATTAATCATTTTGTTTTGTATACTTTGTACACAGTGCTTGAATTTCCTCCTCAGTTCTCAGCAGTGCTGTCAGTCCTAACAGGTTGACTACATGTTTACCTTTGCGTTTAAATGTTGGACAGTGTCGAGGTGTGTCTGTAGTGGAAAGTTAAACTTTGGCTCGGGCTTTCCTGAACTATGAAAACTAGTGAACTCTGTTCCTCTTTTAACCCTTTACATTATGCGAGAGAATTCTGCACCTTCATTACATTTGTACATAGGTAGTTGTGAATCATATAGATGCATCAATGTGTCACATAGAAGAGATATACTGGACATCTATAATAAAGCAATGGTCTAGGAAAAGCCTCTAAGAGTGTATTGACTCTGTCCAGACCAGTGGTTCCCAACTGGTGCAGCCACGGGGTCCAGATTTCTCCTTCGTCACTAGTTTAAAGTCCACGCAGTTTAACATATTCAGCGTCATACTTGTGTTTGGACATGTCGTCAAGCTAGTTTGCTGTCTCTGTCAAGTAGCTGTCTATATGTCACTTACTTAACAGCAGGAAAAGGCACTTAAAAGTAAAAGCTCTGCGCCAGAAATTCACTGTATTTAAGAATAAAATGTGTTTTTTAAAAACTTAATACATTTGCGAGTCACTTGCTGTCCATTCAGAATGGACTAGCAACCCAGTTTTGGACCATGACCCATCATTTTGGAACCACTGGTCTTGACATTAATAAACATATTTATGTATGTTTTGCTCATTCTTATTTAGGTAGAATATAATGCAATCCAAAACACCAGTAAACTGCCTCCAACAAAGCCAGAGCATTAGAAATAAGGTAGAATAGATTGCAGAGCAGCTGTTAATGTGTAATGTTATATAATAACCTTACCTGCATTTTTACATTTGAATAAAGCTATTACCTTTATTTTAAAAGTGATGTTGTATGGACAATCTCCAATATTTTCTAAGCCCTGTGAGGCTGTACCACGTGATGAAGTCACACATAGGTGCTTTGAGCTAAGTGCTAGTTGTAGCATGCTAACTTGCTCATAGCAACAATACTAATATGCTTACCTGTAGCTAGCTGGTATAATGTTTACAAGCTAAGATTTGCTAATATGGACAAAATACAAAATTCACCTGAGGCTTATGTCAATGTCATCAGGATTCATCCTCTGGGGTCATGAACATCTGTACAAAATTTCAAAGCAAAACCATCTAATAGTTGAGATGTTACAGTGACATATAGTATAAGATATTATTATGGTTGAAATACTGGTGATGTGCTCCTGATGAATATGTGAAAGATTTATGGATGAATCTGGGATCTTTTTTTAACAATCCTCAAGACCCGAGGCAACCTCTTTCTCTCCTTTATCTCATTTCTAAACACTGCGCACGCACGAGGCCTGAAAGAGGCGTACGCCACTTCCCATGCAAAATATTGACGTATAAAAACAGACTTGTTGGCAGAAACTTTGACCCATGCATACTAATATTTTGGAGTTGGCAAATGGCGGCGCAGACGGTGAGGTGGAAGCCTGATTGTAGAAATTGTTAAATATTTTTTGCCGCATGCCATCTCTGGCTTTTGTCTGTACGTAGATTTTTAGTATGGATTCTATGCATTGTTATATAAGATAGGTAGAGTGTGTTCTTCATATAGGCTGAGTCCTTTGCCAACCTGCAGCCCTGTCCCCTTCAGCTGTCCTATAATTTAGGCAAAAAGCCCTAAAATCTTAATAATCTTAATACCTCAAGGTTTATGCCAAGAAATGTATTAAATATGCATCAAAATGATCATCCATTAAGATGTTTGCTGTGATTAAAAACCCCAGTCCAATTGAATCACCTCTTATCAGCATGAGCAGAAAAACAGTTTATTTAATTAGACAGCACAACATACTCCTGTGGTTTCACTCTCACACAATGAGAGTATTCTAGTCAATACTATAAAGCTTTGTTCAGTTAGATACACAAAGGGATAAGGAGCTTAGTTAATGAAAACAATTTAAAATCAGCATGAATTAGTCAAGCGTCCCACTTAAAACTTTAAGGTTTAATCCAATGACCTGAACTATCTACCTGCACTCCTGAGATTCAAGTAAGTGTCCCATCAGTATTTCCAAAAATACTGTAACAGTTTGACACGTCACACTGGCTTAAGAAAAAAAAAAAAAATTTTTAAAACACGGACGTTGAACTACAGGAGTATATTAGGGCAGTCCCTGTTGTATTGCCTTCTGACTGCCTGAACCTGAGACTCTCGAATGCAAAACGCACCACATAGTCATCACACGTCTGATCAAATCTTTCCTACTGTACACCCATTTATGTGTGATGTGCGAATACACACAGCACAGGAACCTGGTTACAATGTTTTCAGCAGGTTTCCTTTGGTACTATGTGAAGAAAACAGACCCAAGCAAAGGGAAAAAATACACTTCTTGGAAAGAAAGCAGAGTTAATAAACTGTCATTACTGTATCAGGATAAATATTTAACTTCAATAGCAAAACAGTGCAATAAAACTGCATACAGTACACATACAGCATAATATATTCCTCCTTGTATGTGTTGAAAAAAGCTGTGCACGACTGGGAAAGTGGTTCCCAACATACAGTATGAATGAAATATGAACAGTGATTACAGTTATAGTGATGATGGTATGTCCTTAACAAATGCTGAGCTGCTGAAGGACCTGCCTGTAAGTACCTAACCTGAAGTAGTTTGTAATAAACCACAACGCTCAGACACATTATAAAAGGACAATATCCTGTTACAACAGCTGCAATCATGACACATCAACTGTCTATTATAGGCTCCTGTGGCAGGTAAAACATAATCAATCAGTCATTCGTCTTTAAATCGACAACAGGCAGTTTTTTTTTAGAAATACAAGATGTTGTATCGCATAATTCTGAGACAGAAATAGTACATTTGAACATGCATCAATAGACTCAAACATCCGGTATATTCACTAGTATCTGAAGATTTTAATTAATCATACACTTGACAAAGTGTAGGTGTGCTATAGTTAAAAAAAAAGCATCTGTTTCCTATCACCTGTCTCACAGTGCACATTTGAGGCCATGTTTGAATCATGAAATATGATCGTGGATTTTAAAAAAGAACATAATTGCAGTTCACTGTGTTTTTAATTTATCTTTGGAGCTTGAGTCGATGTATAGAAGTGAAAAGATACTGTTGTATTATTAACTTGTACATTACTTCCTGTCTCTTTGATGAAAAACACACAGGCCTGATTCAAAATCAACACAGCAAAAACATACTGCGCTGTTATACATACTGCATAACATAATGCATAGTGTGTTTCTTTCTAAGCTCACCGTGAACTCATTTTATCACTGTATAACCAATAAACATGGGCAGCATTTAAAAGTGGCCATGCTTTGTCAATTTGGCTCCTTCATTTAAAATTAGAAATTTAATTTTACAACAAATTAGCTTTTAACACTGTCAGAAAACAGCCTCAGAAGGTTTTGAGACATGACCACACCAACTCGATGGACAAAGGATGGAAGGAAGTGCTGAAGAGGTAGTGAAATAAAGACAGGAGGATGAATTATACGTGGTGTTGCTGGATGGATAGATGGATGGATGGAAATGACGTCCTAATGGTCCTACACATCATTTCATTGGAATTCCATTGCTAAGAAACATAACCGAGTTTACTACAAACATGTCACATTAAATAAACCTGGACCCGTTCAGAATGTCTGTATGAAACTATAAAATGGTCTACAGCTCGCAGGAGTTTTCTAGTCTCCTTACGGTCCTTGCTTCTGAGCTCCTCCTCCCTCTCTCTTACAGCAGCAGAGTGACAGGGTGATGGCTGGATCACATCAGGTACCACGCAGCCAGTCCAGCCAGAGCAGCGAACCAAGTGGCAAACAGGACCTGTCCCGTTGGGTGTCGGAGTACGGCCATGGCGAGCTGGCAGGCGTATGCTGTTCCACCCGATGCAGCTGTGACACAGAGAGAGCACAAAAACACACTTAAAGAGAATCCTCATATTTATAAAAGCTTTATCGTGGGTTCATTGTCATTTATAAATATCATACGATGGCACAATGTTTACAGAGAGAAGAGCGTACCCATTTTAGCAGCATAATAGGGACACTTGCTGATGTCTCCACCCATTGCTCCATGGACGGGCATGCCAGCATCTAAAACATCTTCTGGGATGGTTTTACCGATTTCTTCCAACTCCTCAAACACCTGCCAACACCAAACAGACAGTATGTAAGGTTATCAAGCTTGTTCTTGGATAAACAATCAGACAGGAATGTCTGCTTTTGGGTAATTCAGCAAAGAAAACACCTGACAAATCCATCATTTATAATCACACTAATGTAAAAGTTGTCTGTTTCCACTTTAAGGGAAGTTGTTCTCATGCATCTCAGCCAAACTGCATTTCAAATACCATTTAATTTGTGTAACAGGGAGGATTAAAGTGGCGAAATACACGCAAGACCTTCAATATGTCTTTAAAATCCTGTAAATGTTCAAAGCAGGCACAGGAACACCTTTACTGCAAGAAAATCCTCATTTAACCTCTCCACCATCACCACCAGGGAACACATCGCCCACTAGTGTTTCCAAACATAGCTTCTTCTTTTCTCTATCTCTCCAACCTCCATTTCTCATCCCTGGCTTCTTACCTCCATGTTGAACTGGAAGGCCTTGACAGCCTCTTCTACCAGCCTCTTCTTTGTTCCCATGTCCAGTTCTAGCTCGTTCATGCGACTGCGGTACAGCTGCTTGAATGCTTTGGCGCTGTGGATGCCATCAAACTGATAGAATTCCAGGCCTTCCCCTGTGGGCGGCAGCTTCATGGCTCTTTGCGCCACCTTCTTCAGCACCTGGCCCCCGGAGAGGTCCCCCATGTAGCGCGTGTATGCGTGGGCCACCAGCAGCACCGGGTCCTCCTGCCCTACTTCATGAATACGGTCCACATAGCGTTGGGTGGCCTGGGAGCAGCTGATCTGGCTCTGCCAGTCAGGGCCGTAAAAGTACTCAAGATCACGAGCCAGGGCCTCGTGGCGGTGCAGCTCAGTGGGAAAGTATAAAGGGGCGAAGTGGGGGTGGTCCTTGTTCCTTTCGATCTCCTCCTCCATGGCTGTGTAAGTATAGTAGAGCGCAACGGCACCAAGCTGGGGAAGCAAGAAAGAAAAGTTGTCTCCTTCTGTCAGTTTTCTTTGCTTTGCTGGTTACCTACATGTTTATTAGATTTATTTACTCATCGTGTTTGTTTTGTATAGCACTTTATGACATCACATTGCAACAATTTCTCCTGATCTTCTTCAGACTGACCTTGAAGAGCTCTTTGCGAATGCGTCCCCTGAGGAAATCTTTCACAAACTGGGTGTTCTCAGCCTTTTCATGAACCTCCTTGGTCCCTGCTGCCAGCACCTCAGACAGATCCTCAGGACTGGGAAAGAAACGAGACAAATGGGAGGTGTAATGTGTGTTTGACAGAACCATAACAACAAACATGATTATTTTGTAATCCTATTTCACCGTCTCAAAGGTAATGCTGTTACAAAACTGGTGGGAGACTTACCTGAGGGGGTCTTCTTTCTCCTCATATACAGGCCCTGCTCCATTGGACACAGCGGCAGCTGTTTCCATCTTCTCTGCTGACATAAGTGGTGTTTTCCTGTCTGAATCAGTGTGAGACATTATATTTACATTAAAATTATATAGCATTAGTCATATTTAAGTTTCACCACACTTCACTCTGCAAGGCATATATAGTAGTGACTTGTGTTCGCTGTACAATGCATCATTACTATGATCCATACTAGATCCTGCTGTCTAAACATGTCACTTGAGTCAAGATTGCGTAACTGGTTTCCAAAATAAACAAGGGACCAATGACAGGCTGCGGTGTTCCCTATGGTTCTAGAGGTGTGAGCCAAAACAATAACAACACACAGGAGCAACATACAGTATATAGGATAGAGCAGTGGCTCCCGAATGGGGGGTCGCAGTCCAAAAGTGGTTTGTGGGTCCATGTGAATCGACCACAAGTGACTCTTGCGAATGTGTCAGGTTTGTAAAAAAAAAAAAAAAACAATGACAGTGAATTTTTTATTTTGAAGTGCCACTTCCTGCTGTAGAGTGAGTGAATAATGTAGACAGCAAACTAGCTCCACAACATGGCCAAACACAAGTATGACGCTGAATATATTAAACTGTGTGGACCTTGAACTAATGACTACGAAGAACTCTGGACCCCATGCTTGGACCAATTGGGAACCACTGCTAAAGACCACATTATCAATTACAGCAGAATCAAGGAGAAAGGCTCATAATCATCAAATTATGGCTGACAGTGTTTCACCTACATTATTTGACCTCTGCCAACACCACTATCTTTTCAGACTCCCTCTGGATGATAAGATAAATCACTGCCTCTAGCCACAAACAACAGATAGTCAAACAGTGTATATTCAATCACAGTATCTATTAACCCTTACCCAAGAGACAGCAGAGCTTTAATCAGGAAAAAAGGGGAGCTGATATCACCCCACTCCTTCCCACTGTGGCTGTTGTCCCTGAGATGATGGTCAAAGGAAAGCTGTCTTCTGCCAGTTATTCTGCTGCCTTTGTGACCTTATTTACTCTGAGAGGAAGATAGGGCAACGTGAGGGTGAAAGCTGATAGTCTGGCAGCTGGGGGCTGGCTTGGTTTACATAGCAAAGGCTGCTTTAAACAACACTCTGGCTTGAACTACATGAGCAAAGCCAAACAAAAAGGAGCACGTACAACAACAGCACAGGCCTTCTGGCGTTTACCACAAGTCTCAAAGCATAGCTGGTGATGTATGAGGCGAGTTAGTGAAGTGAAATAAATCAGGTCTGCTCCTCAACTTCATCAGCAACCATAATCTCAAGCTGCTTTTAATCGAGACACGATTAAATGCCCTGTTTGTTACACCTGGCGGTCACGTCACCTAACTTGCTAGGAGCATCATTTGGACAACAACAGCTAACTTTGCTGGATGACGCTAGCTAAGTGAGCTAATAGCTAGCTAGCATTTATAACAAGCTAACAAACTTCGAGCAGCGTCACATTACATCACCAGTTCAATACGTTTATTTACCCGTCATATTAAATGTTAAAGGGTTAGAAGGCTTTGGTTTCATAGTGACATTACAAACCTTTACCCCACCACTGTGCAGAGCGGTCCAGTTTACAACAAATCAGGCTGGAGGTCCAGGACGGAACTGCACGTCCAACTCCGCCCCCACCAGGCTGCTGGCTGTCAGGTGCTCCTCCAAAGGAAGTGCTGAGGATGCAAACTGCAAAACAGCAGCTACTAAGGTACAGCTATTACTAGGCTGCTACTATTAATACTATTACTGCTATAATTACTGCTACTACTTGGCTGCTACTACTACTTATACTGCTATCACTACTACTACCACTACTACTACTTGGCTGCTACTACTATTACTACATATTATGCCACTACAACTATTACCACTACTACTAGGCTGCTACTATTACTATTTCTACTACTTGGCTGCTACTACTATTACTAACGTTACTACATATTATGCCACTACAACTATTACCAATACTACTAGGCTGCTACTATTACTATTACCACTACTACTACTATATTATGCTACTACTACTATTACTACTACTACTATTAGGCTGCTACTACTATTACTACTACTACTAGGCTGCTACTACTACTATTACCACTACTACTAGGCTGCTGCTACTATTACTACTACTACTACTACTATTAGGCTGCTACTACTATTACTACGACTACTAGGCTGCTACTATTACTATTACTATTACTTACTTGGCTGCTATTACTATTACTACTTCTATTAGGCTGCTACTACTATTATTACTACTATTAGGCTGCTACTACTATTACTACTACTACTACTACTATTAGGCTGCTATTACTTTTACTACTACTACTACTTGGCTGCTACTACTATTACTACTACATATTATGCCACTACAACTATTACCACTACTACTAGGCTGCTACTACTACTATTACTACTACTATTAGGCTGCTACTACTATTACTACTACTACTAGGCTGCTACTACTATTACTACTATTATTACTACTACTACATTATGCCACTATTATGATTACCACTACTACTAGGCTGCTACTATTACTATTACTACTACTACTACTATTAGGCTGCTACTACTATTACTACTACTACTAGGCTGCTACTATTACTATTACTACTACTTGGCTGCTACTACTATTACTACTACTATTAGGCTGCTACTACTATTATTATTACTACTATTAGGCTGCTACTACTATTACTACTACATATTATGCCACTACAACTATTACTACTACTTGGCCGCAACTACTATTACTACTACTATTAGGCTGCTACTACTACTACTACTACTACTACTACTACTACTACTACTATTAGGCTGCTACTACTATTACTACTACTTGGCTGCTGCTACTACTATTACTACTGTTAGGCTGCTACTACTATTATTAGTACTATTAGGCTGCTGCTACTACTATTACTACTACTACTACTACTAGGCTGCTACTATTACTATTACTACTACTTGGCTGCTGCTACTACTATTACTACTACTAATAGGCTGCTACTACTACTAATAGGCTGCTATTACTACTACTAGGCTGCTACTAATACTATTAATAGGCTGCTATTACTAATAGGCTGCTACTACTACTACTACTAATAGGCTGCTATTACTACTAATAGGCTGCTACTAATACTATTAATAGGCTGCTATTACTACTAATAGGCTGCTGCTGCTGCTGCTGCTGCTGCTGCTACTACTACTACTAGGCTGCTATTACTTTTACTACTACTACTACTACTACTACTGCTACTACTACTACGAGGCTGCTACTACTATTACTACTACTACTAGGCTGCTACTACTATTATTACTACTATTAGGTTGCTACTACTATTACTACTACTACTACTACTAGGCTGCTACTACTACTAATAATAGGCTGCTATTACTATTACTACTAGGCTGCTACTGCTACTACTGCTACTACTATCATCTCAGGAGAATTTGCCAGGGGTCCAAGACTCCTCCTGCCAAACTATTTGGAAACTATTTGGAGATTTTAAAAGATTAAATGGAAGTCAGTCTGTAATTTTGATAACCAGTATTGTGTCACCAACAAAATAAGAGAAGTCGTATATAAAATTATACATTTGATTTAGTCACTCTCAAGATTCAGGAAAAAAATAATTATAATATAACAATAATTCTATAAGGTTACAAAGTGCTTCACAAAGTGCATGAAAATAAGACAACAATAAGAATACAATATTTAAGAACATAAGGAAATCAAATCAAAAAGTACAAATCAGGCATTAAAAGGAAAAGCTTTATTATAAAATTATGTTTTAAGCAATGATTTAAAAATGGGTAATGTGTTAGCCATTATTTCCAACATGATACTGACGGAAGTGTTCCAGATGAAAGCAAGAGCCTAAAAGTTATTACAGTGTTAGGCATCTTAACACTTGCATCATACATATTAAGGAAATTACAAGTAGTATGATGTTCAAATGTGAAATGTCTTTGTTCATGAAAAATTGGTATAGGGGTCTGCGTCTCGATTGAGTGCAGGGGAGGATGTTGGAGCTGAAAGGTAAAGATGACCAACAGCAAAGTCACAGTGGTGAAAAGGAAGGGAAAGTACAAGGAATTCAAAAATCTGCTCACATTTCCTCTTTTTTGATCACAAGATCAATTGTTACTAGTAACACTGTTATGTAACACTGGCATGACTTTAGCCATTAGGAGTTCCATCTACACACAACCCAAAAAGGGTCACTTACTTACATGACAATACCAAGATAAAGGCAAGGATAACTGGACAGACTAAGTAAGTCATAAAGGTGTTCACATGACCAAACATACCACTTGGATGGAAATAAGTCAAAGACCTTATGTGACAACTAGTGTTGGAGGAACTACTTCAAAAGCCTAGCATTGTAAACTACCAATTACTTCACACTGGCAGAAGCTGAACTACAGCAAAGCTGACCTAGGGAAAAATCTAGTTTGGATAACTAAAGCTACTTAGAAAAAATGTAGTTCAAACTACTTTGTAAAAAAAAAAAAAAAGAATCGACAGTGTGCATGTGATATGAAATTAGAACAACAAACAAAAAAGGCACATGACAAAAATGCCACCTTATTAAGTTTATTGCAAAAAGTGTCCACTTGTTTACAGCTCATACATAAACCAAAAAAATAAAGTATCCCGCTCAAGCCACAAGGGCACTGAATCATGACCCTGCCTTATCATGCCTTAAACATAGACATTTATTTATGACTACCACTGCTATATAATGACAGAACTGACAATTATTACATTTTTCTGAAATCATACTTACTAAATTGGTTTGGTTTTGCATACAATGTCCATCAGTCAGACACATGCCTTCCAGAAACTAGGGCAGGTGAGGGTGTAAAGCCAAGCAGGATTACCCAGTTAGCCAGGAAACTTTTAAAATAGCATGCAATAACTTCTCTGACCATTGTAAATAAATAGCAATAATCAATAGTTGGGTCAGTTGTGATCAAAGGGGGTTCAGTTACAAAGAAGCAATGGTAAAATAAAAATATAAAATAATGCCTTTCTTTTTATGTCCCAAAATTGTTTGTAGTTTCAGTTATTAACTACACAAAAAAGTAATTTAACTACTTGGATCATTGCACAGATGAACTACCAGCAAGCCGCTATAAAATGTAGTTAAACTACTACTTTAATTACATGTAGTTAACTACTCTTCAACACTGGTGGCTACTACAACTAGTACCCGGACCCAGGCCCTTGAACGCAAACTGTCAGGTGCCCCCCTGCCCTCTACCTGAAAAATGTCACTCTAATTAACAGGTACCGACCACAAAGAGATGCAAAACTACCACAAACAGACACAAAATTACCATAACGACTACAAAAAGTCTGTATGTCTTGCCTCTTTGTAAGAGAGGGGCAGGGTCCTTTTGCATATCTGTGCCCAGGGGCCTGTTGTCTTATAATCCGCCCATGCGACTACACTACCTAAGCAACGTATTTAACTTCAGTTCAGACCGAAGAAGAGAAAAAGCCTGCATGCACTCAAACTGCAACTTAATTTACATTTCGAACCAGTTTGATACATCAGTGAGATGATGGCAAGACATGATAACAGCATGATCAAATATTTAGCCTAAATAAAAACGAAATGGAAACAGGTACAGTGAAAAGCCATGTTTGTATGAAACACACACTAATTAAGACATTTAGAGACTTGTCCAGAACAAACCGTGTCTCTGAAGGTTGTGCCAATACATAAGAGATACTGATGTTTTAGCAGCATGCTCTTGAAACAACACATGCTTTCTACAAGTGCGTGCTTCATATCTTTGAGGGCCACATATTGACCTATCAGATGACAACCTTGAGCTGTCGACACAAGCTTATGCAGAACCGACACGAATGCCAAGTGTGCAAGTTTACATGTAACATTACTCTAGTGTGCTGTATTTTACTGGTAGGCCTAATATTGCATCATATGACACATCCCAAGAAGCCAAAAACCTCAAAATCATAACCAGGACAAAGATACAAGCACACACCAGCAGCTTAGAAGATAATAACCACAAGATGGCATTCCCACCAAGCAAATACCATGGTTAGGCAAGTTTCTGTTTCACAGCTTCATCGTTGTTGTTTTTTTGGCTAATCTAATGTAATAAGCAATTTTTCATACTGAAAGCACACAAATTGTGTAATATTAATAGACTGTTTGCTTATATGAACAATGAGATGTTTCTGTTTGTTCCTGAAAAAACAACTGATCATTCTCAAAAGTGAAAATTCAATGTTCCTAATTTCTCCTTCATATCAAACCCTCTGGCAACAGCCTCTGTCGCTTTCTAAGGCCTCACTAAAATGATTACATAGTGAGTGTTAGTTCGTGCATAACCACATAACAACATGCAATTATCTCCATTATGACAGTGTTAATTGCAGTGTTGTTAAATCAGTTTATAGTGACCCTGGGTCAACCTCTTTTCTCTTTCCTCCTTACAGGGGCACAGGTTTCGTTTCAACATTGGGGTGGACACTTAATTTCCTGCATTTTGGTGAATATTTCTGCTCTAAGTTGTGCCTTTTCTGCGTCACTTTATATGTAAAGGTCTTTAATTTTGTCAAAATAAAAGTCCTCTGCTAACTTGCATGTTTT